TTGGGAACGGATTAAACGGTTTTGAGAATGATTAAATGGTTTTGGTTTTGGGAACGGATTAAACGGTTTTGAGAATGATTAAATGGTTTTGGTTTCCAGGTTCCTGGTGTGTATCTGCATGCGTCAGATAATGAACTCCAGCCTACATTACCGTGTTAACATGCTTTTCAATCCTTCCTGCTCATTCTTTTCAAACTGAACTTTGCTTTAAACTGTTGTGTGGTTGGAAAAATATAAATTGTAATGTTAAAAATCTAGAAAAAAAAAACTTGACAGTTTTTTGTAATTCAGTATTTTTTAAGTTTCCAGGTTCCTGGTGTGTATCTGCATGCGTCAGATAATGAACTCCAGCCTACATTACCGTGTTAACATGCTTTTCAATCCTTCCTGCTCATTCTTTTCAAACTAAACTTTGCTTTAAACTGTTGTGTGCTTGGAAAAATATAAATTGTAATGTTAAAAATCGGAAAAAAAACTTGACAGGTTAAAAACTTACACTATTACAACTCACCAATTTAACATGTTTAGCTCTATAACATTTGAATGCATCACTACAATGTCTGAGAGAAAAATTTTTTTAATGTATAACCACTGCACAGAAGGCTGCCATATGATAGAAATATTTACACTGTGTGCATACAGTTATTATTATTATTTTCCTAATCCCTGACTGATCATTTTTAATCTAGCGTGTATTATAGTATAGATTAAATTCATCATCCAGCTGCTGCTCTGCAGAATTCTCTCCTGAAGAGCTGAATCACGCCATCTAGCGGAAAATCACACAGCCTTTTCAAATCATGCGAGAATGTGTACAAAACAACAAAAATGGCGCCGGTAACGCTTGTGGCTCGTTTTCGGCGAATGTCTGTGATTTTTTAAAGTAATTTCGGTTGCAAATGCAATGAAATTTGTGCTCTCCCAACAATAAAAACGACTTGCCCCGGGCGATGGGGCGATGGTTAACATTGAGCCCTGCACACATGCTCAGGGAGAACATGCAAACCCCATGCAGAAAGACCCTGGGCCACTGCTGCCTTTTTGCTGCAAGGCCCCAATGCTACCCACCGCCCCACTGAGCAGCCCTATCATATCTTTTGTAGGATCCAGAATTTAAAAGTTGTTCTAAACCTTTTCTGTTTCTGCTCCATCGAAACTTCTGGGCTAAGAAACGTATCTGGAACGGCCGCTGAATGTTAGGAGCTCCGTTCCTCCAGGAAACAAACTTTCTTCAGACTCACCGAGTTCAAGTTGAATCCCAGATCTGCTACGACCACGATGGGAGGCAGACGCTCACTTCTTCCCAGATGGAAGCTCTCTGGGATCTCGTGCTTCTTGTAGACCGTCAGATTTGGCGCGTTGGACAGAGCATCAAACACCTCCTGCTCCTTCCCCGGCTGCGGCGTCAGGACGCCGAACCCACCGTAATCGAGGATCTCGAAGCTGACGAGCTCTAATAGATTCAGGTACTTGTTGAGGATGATCTCGTCCACCAGAGGGCGCTTCTTCACGGTGGTCATGCCGTGGTCTGAGGTGATGACCACGTCCAGGCTGTCCTCCAGGTTGTGGCGTTTAATGGCGTCCCTCAGGTAGCCGATGGTGCGGTCGATCTGCTGGATGATGTTCTTCCTGTCTTCGGTTTCCGGCCCCTTGGCGTGGCCCACGTTGTCCGGCTCGCCGTAGTACAGGGTCACCAGATCAAAGTCCTCCTTAGAGAACCAGTTCATCACCGTGTCGATGTTCTGACACCACTCTGTGTAGTTGGCGTCAGGGTGGCCGGCTTCTTCAAGCCGAACCCTGTTCACCTTCTGACCCCTGTAGGTGGCGGCGCCTCCGGGAAAGAAAAACGAAGCAGTTTTCAAACCCTGAAAGAAGAAAAGATCAGATGAGCTTCAATCTTCTCCTTAGTTATGGTCACCTGGACCTTCAGGGCCTCTGCAGGTCTCTATGGTCCCTGTTCTGATGACTCGCCTGGTCCTGAGCTGTGATCCATAAGGGCAGAACGCCGTTGTCCCACCACTCGGATCTGTTCAGGGTCTGCTTGTAGGGAACCTTCAGGTTTGTTGTGGTGTTGAACATCAAATTGTGGACAACTTCGTGGTCTTCTACCCATCTGCCTAAAACAGACATTTAACACCGTGGTTCAGCCATTATACAGCGCACCCTGGTGGTCAGAGTAAAACTGAAATGTTTATGCAGTCATATAAAGTTTAAAGCTATAGAGGACAATCTTTGTCCTACTAATTGTCAATCATTCTGGTGATATGTTTGAGGTCGTCCTACGTGCTCGTCCCGTTAGCTATCTTTTTCTGCTCATGCGCACTTTCAGGCGTATTTCTGTGGTGAGCTACGGTTTCAGACAGTCATTGAAGCTCACTTTTCTCACCGCGGTTCTTTGAAAATGGCCGAGGGTCGTAAGAGAAAAAGTGTCTACGAAGTGTACGAGAAGAAAAAAAAGGCACCCGAAGAGGCAGATATATCCCAGAATGCTTTGCACAGAGAGCTCTCCTCACAAAGCATTATGGGATTCACTGTCACCATAGGCTGTTGCTACACCACAGCAGTGACTAATAACAAAGATGGAGCAGGCAGCACGTAGTGGAGGAGGAGTTACGTAACCAATGGAACAAAAAGCAGTGATCATCTGTCCGAACTGTCAGTTAACTGAGTTCACTATAAAGTTCACTATAAAGTCCCCGCTCTATATAGTGATGGAGGGATTTAGGGGTTAGAGCGGACGTTCAGACACAGCAAAGGTCTGGTTATCCTCCAGCAGCAGTGTGTCACAGTCGCAGGTATTTTTGATTTATGCCAAATTTTAAAACTTGGTCTGTGCTATTCTATTCAACACCACAACGCAGGTAACCTGACTCCGCCGGATGGATTTGCTGGATTTGCTCCGCATATCCATCTGGAAACCTTCCGTTGAAGTAATTTTGGGAAGGGGCGAAAATACTGGTTAGCTGAT